GGTGTGAGCAGTCACTTAAGTTACTAGGTCCACACAAGTGCTGTAGTCCCCCATTCTAAGACTTCTGAGGCAATGGTCCATAGTTCTTAGCACTGCAGTAAGTTGAAGATGCTTTGGACTTATTTGTCTAAAAGGTTCAAATACTTAAGTTCTTGGCCAAAACCAAAACGGTTTTGTTTTTCCAGACATTTTCCATAAATTTGTAACCAGCTCTAGGAGTGTAGGTTGTAACTGTGTTGGTCTAAGAACACAGGCAGACAACCCAAAGACCCTGGTCTGCCTAACCAGCTCTAGCTTATATTCTCTTAATGTAATTGTTCTGAAGGGTAAAAATAAAGCAACAAGAAACCAAACAAAAAAAACCATTGCTTTCTTGAAGGACTATCAACCTTGTGAATTTTTTCTTTTGCTACAGCAGAGTGTTTCAGGGTTTTTTTTTTTGGTCCTTTTATTTCCTGTCACTTGCATATGAAATTGATTTGCAGATACCAAGCTCCCTTAGGGTTTCTGGTCAGATTAAACCAGCGCTTCAAATGATAATGAATCTGTTTCTGAAAAACAAATGTTTGTCTCCTTTAAAACTGCATGAAGTTCCCTTGAGCGTCACGGTTCACCTAGCATTAATGTTACCCAATATAAATGATGGGACTTTTCTGTGAAGACAGTGTATAGCTGCTTATACTGAATTACAACATATAAGGTTGGATTGTGTTCCTTTGATTTTCTGCTTTGTCATTATTCTATCTTTTGAACAGAGTATCTATCAAAGTATAAGGAAGTGCTGCATGTTTGTCCAGTGACAGCCATTTATGGAATTCTTCCCCAAAGCTCTTGGAAGAAAAGGACGACGCCAAGCATGTGAAACTTGGCAGTCTTCTCCATGTTTGCTTTAGGAAAAAAGGCGTTTCAGAAGGCAGACCCCATACTGCAGTTTAAGTAAAATGAAAATGCATTGGCAGGCATTTCTATGCTATGCAAGGGCCTTGTTACATCTTACAAGGGTAAGCTGCACAAATGTTGATGGGTGTTAGTGCTAGCTTGAGTTTGGAGCAGTCTTATGTTCTGGCCAGCATGGATCTGGAGGACTAAAAAGGTAAGAATCTCTTCCTTCTCCCTGCCCATTCCAGGCTTTCCTCCTGCCCCTCAGGGCTCCCCCAATCGTGCCCCCCCCACCAGCCTCTGGGGCTCTCCTGCTGTCCCCCACCCTGCTTACTTCAGCAGCCACTCTTTCTGTCCCAGAGGAGCGGGCAAGGTGGGGTTAACCTGTCTTCATGGTCCCTGCCACTACAGCAGCTTCTCTTAGGTACACACTGCACCCTAGTGTAACATGAGCTGGGTAGCATGCATCAGAGATAATCCTGCCTTGGAGTGGTATAACTTTGAGTTACATAATTAGTGCTTAAAACTAGTTTCATGTGTGGACAGCCCAGGGGTTAAAAGCTCCAGGAGCTGCCCAAAATTACCATGCAGCAAGGCCCTAACATAACTTGCACCTACCATTAAGCATAGAGGAAAAAGGCCAGGGGACAGGAGTAACCCTTCCAATCATTCTTGCCCATGCCAAATATTCCAAGTGCCAGGAACTTCTACTACATGCAGAACCAGCGCTGTCATCTCACAGAAGCAAGCATTCTACTAGTCCTTAGGATGGGATTACTGAGACCAGGGCTGTCCAAATGGTGGTCTGTGGCCTGTATGTGGCCCACATGGGGTTAATGTGAGGCCACTTGGCCATCACCTGGCTGCTATTGCAGCAGGAGGCTCCAGATTCTCATCTCCCTCTTCTGGCTGCTGCTTCCTGCCTTTTCCCCCAGGGTTGAGTCCAGGGCTGTGAAAAAAGGGGTTGTAGTTGGAAGGTATACTGCAGGCAAGAGGAGGTATTGCTGGAGTGGTCAATGCTTCCAACTAAAGCATGCTTCCCAAGAGCTATGACAGTGAGGAGTTGTCTGTTCTAGCCTGTATCCACTGGGTAAAGCAGCATGAGCATGAACAGGGGAGTGATACTTAGTAGGGCTGTGTGAAACTTCAGTACCCGATTTGATTTGGTAGAGATTCGGCCCAATTCGGTGGCCAAATCTGATTCGAATCAGGAGACCCTTTAATTTTTCCGAATTGAATTGGAACCCTCCAAGTTGATTCGGAGAGATTTGGCGATTTGGACATAGACACAGCCTGAAATGTTTTTTCTACATACATCGAGGTACCAGGTGGCTTGTGAATGCTGCAGTGCTGGGGTGGATGGAGTGTCCCACAGAAGCGCAGGGGGCTCTCCAGTGTGCCCAGGAGCAGACCTGGAAGTAGACCAGAAGCACTTCTCATCCACTTCTGGGTCCGCCAGAGAGCACTCTGGGGGGCTACCACGTGCTGCCCTGGCTCAGTGACTGGTGCCTCCTGGGTCAGGGTGAGGGCACCCAGGGTCCCCCTGCAGCTGACTGCTGCGCCAGGGGGGCACAGGGAGGCTCCCCAGTGAGGTCCCCAGCAGATCTGCAAGTGGACTGGAAGTGCTTCTGGTCTACTTCCAGGTTTGCAGCCAAGCACGTGGAGGCCCCCCCCACACCGCTCCATGTGCCCCAGCATTGCATCATTCATGAGCCATATTAGTACCTTGAGGTAGCTAGAAAAAAAGCATTTAAAGCTGTGTTTATGTCCAAATCGCTGATTCTCTGAATCACCATCGAATTTTCAGATTCGTCCGAATTGAATCAGGGACAGTGATCCAAATCAACAAATCGAATCACTGTCCCTGATTCCAGCTGAATCTGAATCCAAATTGAATAGGGCCCACTTTGCACACCCCTAATACTTAGCCAAGCTGGGCAGTGGAGGGAAGGCATTTGCTTCTGGCAACTGAGAAGAAGCCACTCTCCCATGGCATCTCTCATTCCTCTTACTGTTCAGACTGGCGGCTAACCCCTACAGTCTCAGAATTGCAGTGTGAGCTGCCTAGCGTAGGGCTCTGCTAAGTGTAGCACCTACATAAGAATGAATTGGTGTCAAGGCATCTCTACTGTAAGGACTGTAAACAAAATGCAAAGTATCGTTATGTCCTTTTATAAATCCATGGTGTGTATACACTGTGCCCGAACTGCAAAAAGGATATAGAAGAACTGCACAAGGTCCAGAGAAGGACAACAAGGTTGATTAGCAGAATGGAGGGCCTTCCATATAATGAGACACTAAAGAGGCTAGGGCTTGTGCGGGTCGCCTCCCGATCCCGTCCATGTCACCATGTGCGAGCCGGGAGCGATATGCGGACCCGCCTTTGTGCACGCGGGCTGTGGCCAGCAGCCCGGGCACGCGGGGTCAGAGGAAACCGTGCAGCGGCAAGGCATGCACAGGCTAGAATTAGTCACAGATGTGTAGTGGTCGATTCAAAGATTATTTACTTACACCCAAGATGGTCGCGGTGTAGGCTGGACAGTTTCCAGGTTCAGCTCTGCTTAAATCCTCGTTGGAGGACTACGACAAACTCGGTTCTTGGGCCCCGGAGTTGTTAAGGCTCCATGGGTTCGGCAATTTCTTTCCCACGGAGTTGTCGAAGCTCCGTGGTTTCGGATCTTGAGTATATAGGATAGGGATACGTCTAGGATTGTGCTCGGTGACGGGGAGAGGCCAGAGGCTATTTAGACCTCTGTTGCCTTCTTAAGAAATGCGTTGGGTTCGTAAGGATCCTCAGCGCTTAGAGATCTTCACGCTCTCCCTCTCAGACTCCAATTGCTCTCTCTCTCCAACTTGGGCGGAAACCACCCAAGCTCTTTATATGGCTAGCAAGCCAATTGCTAGCCCCCCCGTTTGCATAATTTAACACAAGCCAATAATGGGGCTTGAATTAACATACAAATGGCGGGAACTCCTTTGCACCGTGCATTTCTGAGATGCAAAAGAAATGCACCATGCAAAGAAAGCTACAAATTTGGCGGGAAAATTCTCCGTTGCACTGGCGCTCTCCTCTGCAGCAGAGGACTCCACTGTGCAAAGAAGCTGCAATTTAACGGGAACATAATTTAGCAGTGCCGAAGCACACACAAACAAAAACTCACAACTTTGGGTTGTGACAGGGCTATTTAGTATAGAAAAAAGAAAGATACGTGGAGGGGAGAGGCATGGTAAGGGGTTTACAAAATATTAAGTAAATAGGGATTTATTATTTACTCTCTCTCACAATACAAGAACTAGGGGTCACAAAATGAAACTAGTAGGTCGTGAGTTTAAAACTAACAAAAGGAAGTGTCCCCCCCATTCCAGCATGTCATTCAAGTGTGACACTTATTGCCAAAGATGTGGAAGCTGACAGTTGAGCCCTTCAGCAAAGTGGAAATATTTACAATGGTGTCAGGGATAAGATAGTGTGGGTAAATTCTTGGCCCCCTGAAGTAAATAAGAGATTTGGATGATTTTTAATACCACGTTGATATGGAATTGATATTTTTTCAATAATTTTTACAAAAATAAGTCAGTCAATCACCTTGGTATGTTCTTCCCTGAGCCTAGTTCTTCCATATGATATTAATCTGCACTATATTAAAGACCTACTTGAACTTTTTCATTGGGAAAATGGAAATTCAATAATAGTGTGCATCCTGTACTTTTATATAAGGTATTTATAAAAGATTTATCTTCCAGGATTTACATGGCTTCATTTTGAACACTTGCTGTTCAAATTAAACAAAATATAAATTGGGAGATTACTTTTGTCCATCTCAAAATGTTTTTGGTTTGGTGTCACCACCTAATAAGAGGATGGAAGAGTAGTGGAAAGAGCTTATCATAAATATCATGGCACTTTGTGAATGCTAAATGACCTTTCTTTTTACTATACTAAATGTCAGTACATATCACTGTTATGGCACCAAAAGGTAACAGAGATACTGGATAAATGTCCCATTAAGAATTTCCTAGCAAGTAGATGTCAGAGTTTCAGTATGTTATTGCAGATTTCTAAAGATAGCCCTAATAACAACGTATCAGGTACACTAGCAGAAGTCTCTCTCTTCTTTTTTTGGTGGCTAGCCACAAAAAAAATACTCCAGTGCGTAGCTTCCACACACACACACGGATGGTTTGCTTTTGATCTTCATTTTGTGTTGTGACACCAGTGCAAAATGCAACTAAAAAAAAAATGGGAATGGAAAGAATTTACAGTATTTTGTGCTGATGAAAGCAACTACACAAGGTGCAGATCCATCCAAAATCTGGATCCCAGATTTTGAAAGGAATAAGGGAGCAGCAGTAATGTAGCAGTTGCAAGAACGGGATAGTGAGCATGCATTGAGGCCAGTTTTATAAAGGAATAACCTGGCAACCAGGCTGCATTGCTGAGCTCCAAGTGTTGCACCAAATTAATACCTGTGAAACCCACCACTTTCTTCAGGTGAATTCGTCATTCTGCATTAGTAATATCTGAACTTAGTTTGAACTCCTGTGACCACCCTCACACTGTAGCTCTTGGGCATACTATTGCCCTCTGGCAGAGAAGAACTTGGCTTGCCCTCCCAACCATCTGATAGCCTGTGATCTCACCTGCCACATCTTGTTTTTTCCTATGGTTATAGGTCCTCAGCTCAGTTGGAAAGGGGGGTGATGGATATTTGGTCTCCACATGCAGTCTCCCGGGCCTGGCTCACCTGCACAGCAGCCTCTCTCTCTCAGACCTGGCTCACCTGCTAATGGCTCTGCAGCTGAGCTATTTCCACTAGCAAAGCTCCTATTTGCATGCTGCTTCTTCCCTTTGCCTGGCTTCTGTGGTCAGGCCTTTTATGTGCTCCCTGGAAGAGGCTTGGCCTTCACCCTTAAAGATACAGGGCCCTCTTTATACATATTATGGAACCTTTACCACTATAACTCTTCAGACAGTTTGGGGAGTATATGGAAATCTATGGTCTGGCAAGTTCATTACTAAAATTTGGAGGCAAGAGTCTTAATCCTTTTTCCTTCTGCTTCATTTGCCACCAAGACAGAAACTTGTGATCTAGTTCAGTGGTTCTCAACCTTCTTCATACTGCAGACTGGCAAACATATTTAAATTTTCATGTGGGGGTGGGGGGGGGTTGCAAGGATCAGATCAGGTTGGGGCACCGCAGGTAGTGGCCTGGGGGCACCTAGCTGGGGCTGCCCAGGAAGAAGGGGCTCTGCTGCCTTCCCTAGGAGCAAGCAGCGGAGCCACCTCCCTGCCCTCCACCCTGGGCATTTCCTTCACCTGCATCCCCCCGCTCCTAGTTGCTGCTTGGCCTGGTGCATGCCCCCATAGCTGTTGCATGGGCAGTGCCTTGCTGGGCATGGACATGGCAGTGCAAGCAGGATGGGGCACACAGAGTTGGCTGCCTCCCTCTCTAGGCTGTCCCATGGCCCAGCTTTAACCCTACACATGGCTGCCAGCAGCCAACCATTCATGGCCTAGTGGTTGGGAACCTCTGATCTAGTTTACACAGTCCATCCAACAATGCAGGTTGTCATGATTTGAGAGGTAGCATGTGCGCACTGTTTGCTCTTTCCATGCTGGAGCCTCTTTCATTAGAAACTAAAAACAATTTCTTGGAGAGAATGCCCAAAGATGGTTGCACTGTGGCTCCTTGCTTCAAGTGTTTCATTCCTGTTGGCTAGAAACCTTCTGAAGAGTCACAAAAATTAGTGTGTAGCAAGGCTCTTAGAGTGCTTAGGCTACAGCCTACTTAAAAAAAAAAAAAAAAGCTTTCTGTAGCTTCCCCCATTTCTTGTTCTGATGTGCCACAGAGATGGGGGAACATGAGCAAACTGCAGTAGAATAATCAAAGATGGTAATGTATACCAAAAGTCATGTTGCAACTCAGGTCTATCGTTAGAATGTGGATTTGTTAAGTGGGTTAGGTATGGTTTTCATAAACCAAATTAAACGGTGGGTTACTCAGCTACGTTTTTTAAAACAACTAAAACATTCAAAATACTGACATCCTGTAAGTGTCTATATCACACTACAATTAATAGTTTTCTCCTCTGGTAGGAATTCACAAATAATTGAAATATGTTTCAAACTACTGTGCAACACAGAGAGAAAATAGCTGTGGCATTTTTCTAAGTCGCATAAAATAGCAATCAGATTGTTCAGGGACTACAGTGAAATGCAGTACAGAGAAAACTCAAGGTTCATTTTAGAAGCCATATTTAAGGGGTAATGTCAATCAAGAAAAATTTGTTTTCCTGTCTGTTGAATGAAATACACACACCCGTCTAGCAAGCCATTTAAACATTGGGGACTTTTTGTGCAGAAAAAAAAGCTGTCCAAGGTTCTTTTGTTGTTAAAGCTACTTTATCTTGTTACTTGATAATCATTAAAAACAACTGCCTTCAAAACAAGGAAGTTACTTCCACAGATGTTCCTAATACTTTGAAACCCACTTAGACCATATATAGATATTTTGGGTGTTTATACACATACTTCAGGAGTGGAGAGGGAGAGTTGCTTTAAATTAGAGTGGCTCTGAAAGATCTTCAAGATTTTTTTCCCAGAGCAGAAAGTGGCTGGAAAAATAACCTGGGAACAATCAGGCTTAAATTGCTCCCAGGACAGTTTCCTTTTCTTCTGAAAGAACTCACAGGACAATTCTCCAGCATCCCAGGGTACTCCCATTCTCCTTCACCTACCCTCCAGAGATGGTGTTGCTTGGGATGGATTCTATTGTTCTAGCAAGGCAGGGAGCAGATCATATTCCCTTTACAATCCCCATATTCTGCTTTAGGGACATACAGGATGACCCTGAACAGTCTCTGTCAGCTAATTTGTCACCAGGCAAACTAAGGGAAACTGCGGAGCATACCGAAATGTGGGTAGAGGCCTCCTGGCTGTGTAGTGTCAGCAGTGCAAGACACTTCAGCATGGAAAGAGCAAACAGCATCCACACGTTACACACACAGTTCCTCAGGGGATCAGCATTCCACCGTCTGTTCAGGAAATGCCACCCCCACCTAAGAATTCTCCCAGATCATTTGAATATGTATACACAACCTTAAGGCTTTGTTACATATTGCACTTCGGAGCTGCTTAAAATGTTGATTGGTGTTATGCTTGCTTGAGTTTGGAGTAGTCGCACCTTAAGGCTAAAAAACATTATTAACTTATTTGATTGTCCCCCTACCCGTGCAATTGTGCCTTGCCACTAGAGGGCTGGCAAGTAGGGGCCTGACTAGGAGCTACAGCTGTGAGTTTGCTAGCCAGTACAGGGCTGGTGAGCCAGGACAGGGTTCTGTACCTGCTCTAGGGTGTGCAAGATGGGCTGAGGGGGAGAAAGCATGAGTCGGGGAAGCGGAGTTAACAGGATGGGGTGGGTAATGACATGGGAGGTGGGGGAAGCATGGTGAAGTGAAGGAAGTCAGCCACTGAAGGATTAAAACAAACAAACAAACAAACAAACAAACAAACAACATAGACGTGAAAAAGAAGGAATTTAAAAACAAATAAAAGAGGAAGTAAATTAAAAAGGTCTTATGTTTTAATAAAAACTTGGCTTTGGGATCAGGGTAAGGGGTGTGCTGGTTATGTTTTCCGGGGTGGCTGGGAGGTGGGAGCTGTGACAGAAGTTGCTTTTGGGGGAGCTAATGCCCCTCCCATTGGGAAGAAAGCCCCAGCTTCTGCCCCCTACCTTTGGACCTGTCCATGCCCCGTGACCTGGCTAGCTGGCATATGCTCTGCAGGCTGTTTGCATGGGGTTGTACTCCTGGGGGTGGGCAGGTCACACCCCCAGGGGCAGACGGGGAAGTTGGCTTGGTACCAGAACCAGCCCCTAGGCTGTAGAGTTCAGGGGGTGGAGAGTTTGTCCACACAGAACAGGAGGGTGAGGGAAGGGACACTGCATCCTGGGATGCTGGAGGACTGCAATTTGGGCCGCTTGTCTGTGTGGAGTGACCACACATTAATGGAACATGAGCTGGGGAACATGGATCAGAGAAACCTGCCCTGAAGCAGTGTAACTAAGTTGTCTAAAGAGTACTTAAAACTAGTTTCAGGTGTTAATGTGTGGACAATCCAGTGGTTAAGCACTCTAGGAGCCACCTGAAATCAATGTGTAACAAGGCTGTAGCCCAAGTACTCCAAGAGCCTACTTCAGATGCTATGAAAGCTTATACCTTTCTGAATGAATTACGTTTTTAAAAAGGCACTACCCTGCCCTGCCTTCTCCCCGATTTCAGACTAGCATGACTAATTCCCCCTCTCTACTTCAATTATTATGTAGATTGCACAAGAACTATCAGCGCTGAAGTTTAGGAGTGTAAGTGCCACCCGTTATAGTGGAAATGGTTGAACTCCTTTGTGAAAGTGGTGTCTCTAAAACTGAAGACAGGTCAATGTCACAACTGAAAGAGGCATATCAAAGCCATTCAGGGGAGAACCGCTTTGCTGTGTATGCATGCATAGGCACATACTTGCACAAAGGCAGAAAGCACCACAGAGACAGAGAAAGCAATTTCAGACGCAGCCCAGATAAGCACTTAAAAAAGAAAAGAAAAGCCTAGAGAGCTTTTGGGCCATGCCTGTGGTGAAAGTCTTGCATCTGTGAGCAGTTGGTCTTTGTTTTGATACCTTTGGTTGCAAAGAAACAGGATTTTGCTTCTTCCTCGAAGAGATACCAACTTCTAATAATGAATTTCTCTCAATTAAAACAGCCTCAAAACCCTAATCTTGGGCTAATCACTTATGCCAAGAAAGGGTATTAATGCATTTAGAATGAAAGATGAATGCCAAGAATACAAGTCTGCCATAAAGATAGCTCCAAATACTACAATAGCTCCTACAGCTCTATTTAAAAAAAATTAATAAATAAATTTAAAAAATTGCAGTACGAACTCTCCATACATATGAAGTACAGTCCATGCTCTGAAGAGCTTAAACTCAAAGAACAACTCTGGCAGAGACGTACTCAATGGACACGTCCCCACATGCAGGGCTGTATGTTTGCTGTGGCACAAATAGCAGCAGCACATATTTGTGCCACTGCTTTGTGCTCCAGGGCACACCCCTGCACATACACTGGTGTGCACCAAATTTTTCTAGATGACGTAGGGGAGGCTGGCCCCAGGAGCCTGATCTGGGTCCCTAGCGGCCTCCTGGGGCAGCAGCAGCACCAATCCAGCAATCTGA